GAGTTTATCTATCAAATAGAAATAAACCATAACCTCCCTCCACCGAAGAACTGAAGTCAAGCAAGTTACTTCTCCAATACTTTTTCTTTCCATAATGCCTCCGAATCTTTCCAATCTATCAAGTATATATGCATAATTTATAAGTTAACGAGTCTATAAACACTTACGTTATTTTATGTGCATCCTAAACCCACAACACATCTAACTTATAATCTTCTTTTCTAAAATTTAAACCTAAGGGCAAGTCTTAATTCCTCCAATTAGCATAACTTTAGTGGAATTTAAATAACCCAATACACCTAATATTTTATTACTTCACTCAATAGTTTAATAATTTAATACGCCTAATTAAGTGATATACGAACTAGGAATAACCTAAGTCACACGAATTGTAACAACTGCATATGAAGAATATGCAAAACCCATTAACAAATCATTAACTTCACAATTTGTCCCATAGTTTAATTCTATTTTATTTATATAAGTATCTATATATGTTGTGTCCTATCTTCTACCTTAACCAACACATGAACACATTCACTATACATATACACTTTAATGCTCCCACTTTAAAGTATAATAATAATAAATACTCAAGTCAATATCACCTAAAATTGATCCAATCATCACGCTTGTACTTGAATTTTTTTTTCTTTCAATCGATTTTGTGAAATATATATATGATAATAAATGTCATGCATAATTTCATAAGGTACTCTCTGCAAACAAGGTGCATATCAATTCAATAATTTACCTGTCGTATTATCTTTGACATGCGGCTTCTCTTGATTCCCTTCTTTTCTTTTCTAATTCAGTATAAGAAAAATGGAAAAAACCCTATTGATTTTATAATTAATTATAACTATATAATAAATGTGACCCACTATTAATTTTAAAGTTTTTCTATTTAACCACCAACTAATTAAATTATTTAAAACTACCCCACTAATTTTATAATTATAATTATTAATAGTTCAAAACACCCATTTAAAATCTATCGAAAAAATATTTATGAAATAAAAAAGCTCTAGTACTCAAAACGACCAAAAGAGTCGTTACAGAAAGTTTAAACATCATCTAAGGGAATGGGGTTTACGGCTTAGGATAAAATTGTGACTGACAGTTCAACATTGTCCACAAAGTCAATCCATTGTTATGATGAAGACGATGCTCAGGAACAAGGATGCAACATTAAGGCTTGTTAATGAGTTAATCAAACTTAATGTTTTTCATGATATTCTAAGATTGGCTGATTTTACCGAATAGTGTATCTACGCGATAACATGATTAAAAATCACCTATGTGAGTGGAGTGTTAGCAGCTTCAAAGAGAATTATTGTCAAAAGTCTATTCTCTATACACTCATGAAACCAGGAGGTATTCATTACTAAAACTAACACAATCGTAAGAATCATAAAAGGAAAAGGATTAATTGTGTGACATATGATTGTCTAGGTATAACTAGAGCTCGACGGTTCAAACATATCGCATCTATCAATTGACTGAGTATATTTGACATATGTTCACTACAGAAAGTCCAAGGGAAATTCTACTTATCCAGCTGCAATAAATTTTTCCTTGTAAAGTACACATACTTTTCCATTTATTTTTCGTGGAGTCATTCCCCATTCCTGCGGGGGACTGTTGAGTTTTAAAAGGTGTGAATGGAAAATGAAGAGTTGCAACTTTTATTAAGAGTTGCGACTTAAATGAAAAATTGCGACTTTTATGAAATATTGTGATCTTTCCCAAAGATTGTGGTTTTTCCAAAGGTTTGTGACTTTTTCGGTAAGGCACAATATGTGATTTCCCAAAGGTTTATGACTGTTTCGGTAAGGCACAATAAGAATTTTTCAACACTACCCTTTGTTTTCTATAAATTGAGAGATTTCCTCTCAGTTTAGTTGAACCATTTTTTCTGAACTTCTTTTTCAACTACTAAATCTAGTATTCAATGAGTATTCTACAACCGTTGAGTAATTTGTTGACACCGTGGGTTTAGGTACGATACACCGGTGAGTAAGTGCATTCTATCCTGGGAGAATATATTCTGTTAACCTCGGGTACTTGAGGGAAATAATTTCCTTAAGGACACACTCAGTTTGCGATTCTATTTCCTAATCAGTTTGTGATTCTATTTTCTTAGCTTGTCTTATATTTTCTAGTTTTGAAAATACTCTTTAATGTTTGTTGTTTATTACCAAGTTCTTCAAAGTTTTGTTTTAAGTATCTCAAGAATACAAGATGAACAACGTAGTAATTTGCTGCCCTCCAGAAATTAGAAATGTCTTAAACAAAGGTTGAAGTATGTTGTGACAGAACCAAGTTCCACATTTATTTTATAAAAGAAATACAAAAAGAATATTCTTCTGTTTCAGAGTAAGTATGGTATTTCAGAGATGATGTACTGTTTAAAATTTTGTTAAGTTTTCCAATTCGAACAGCCTGATAGGGTTGCAAGATTTAAAAGACTATACATTTTTAATTTAAGATTCCAAAATTTAAAAATATTGCGTAATTTTTTAAATTTCATATGTCAAGTTAAACTATGAATTAGGGGATCGAGGGGATGAATGCAGTCCCAATAGAAAAGGTGAAAAACCGAATCACAACTTTAAAATGTATAGTAATATCAACATTTGATAATATATGAATGCTAACTGCCCATGAAATTCAGGAAACAAACTGTTAAGCTCTCCTCACATAACTATATAAATACTATTTATTTCTCCTTTTCAAAATCATAAAATACATAATAGTTGAGATACTTAATCTCCCAGAGATCATAAGGCTTAGTGTTTTAATTAACTATTAGACAGTAGATATATAGATGTTGAGAATTTTATTTTCAAATATATATTTGTCCATGAAATTAGATTAGATTTTGATTTTCATGAAATATTTTCAAGTTTCTAATAATCTTGCTCACAATGCAAGACTAACAAATTTAGATTCAAGAAATCAGCAAAGACAACATCATTACTCAAAGTAATTTACCGAATTAAGCGTCCTTGGTAGAAATGAATGTTCACCAATTATTTGGCAAGTGTAGTATTTAAAATGATTGTCTTAATATGTAATCATGTTGGTGTATTGATAATAATGAAATAGTCAACATTAGTCACAAGATAATGGTCCTACCTGTCAAACAAAATACATAAACAACTATATTGAGAGTAAATTTTTGCACGGAGTAAAATAAGCTCATAATATAAAATCATTGATTTCTTTAATTTGTTTGTATTTAGACCAATTTAGGTGATCTGTTTATTTTATTAACTAAATTTATTTTAATATGTTTAATTTAACCTATTTTAAGATTAGGCTAATATAATGTCTAAATTGATCCATGTAAAGTTTTATTTAATATGTTGATGTTGATGTATTATATATAGTCATATATAAGAAAAAAGTTGTATTAGAGTACACAAATTAAAGAAATAAAACTTAATAACAATTTGGTAGATTGGGCTATGACTCGGAATTTAGTCCACTTCAATCCAAGTAACATGACTCGTTTCTTTTTTAACTCAATTCGATTGAATATGCCCAAATTTAATCTAACCCATTCATTTGACTATAATAGTTTAAAATCAAATCGAAAAAAATTATTGATCGATAATGAGTTATTCATTGGTGATTTTGGTAATAGTTCTGATTTTTTTACTATCAGATATTGCTTTTTAACGAGTTAATGTCTTTTCTTAACGAGTAATCGATAACCCCCTAGTAAATTAAAAAATTTATATTTATACCGTTTAGTATATAAAGTGTTTGGCTTAGAGTTTTGTTTCATGCGCATATTTCTGATTGTTTTAAACTCTCAAATATTCTAAAATGTGAATATATTTGCTTTTGAGCAAGACACAATTTGTCCACTTATATAAATGATTTACTTAGTTTGTCACCTTGTTTCTAAGTTATTTTTTATGATTTTTTAAATCAAATTTCAATGGTTAAATCAATTAATCAATAACCGATGGATAGTATCTTAATGATTTAACATGTCTAACAACAACCGATAGATCCAATCAATAAATTTTAAAATCGAATCAGACCAATCAACACACCACCCTACATTTGATACTTCTAGAATAAACAATTTTTATAAATAAATAATTAAAAATTATCGATTATACTTTTTATTAATGAATTATCAAAATAAGAATTGCTAGCTACAAACTAGTGGAGGATTAGCAAAGAATTAATATCCTAACTGATTCCTTTTTTTCTCCTAATAAAGGAAAAGTCATGATTATTATTTAGAGGCATTTTAACATATTAGCTAGAAGTTGAAATAAAATGATCTTTTTTTTAATGAAATGTAATTTAATGATAAAAAGTTTTATTCACTAAAAAACACTTGCTTAATTACTAATTCTAGTGTGATCAACTTGAATAAATGAGTAAAAATACGCGTCAAATCTAATGTATATAATCCGATCCAACTAATGACATTAATAATCACATGAATAAGCTATTATTGAAATCTAATTAACGCTAGTGATGTAACCTCTTATATTATAAGACTACAATTTTGGCATACTAAATTTGTATAACTTAATAATCAAGACTTACATTTTTTTTAAAAATAAATCTTTAAGTAAATTATATTTATTTAAAATCATTTTAATTGTTTATTATTTTAATTGAGAAAAAAACTTACATTGTTCGTGTAGATGAGAATAATCATGATTTTCCATAGAAACTAATGATTTCTTGTCAGATCTCAACTTGTATGACAATCAAATTGGGAGTGGAGAGACGTTTGAAGGTGACAAGTTGTCAGATCTGAATAGGTCTGATACTTGTCAGCCGCTTATAGCTTTTAATGAGGTGGTTGAAATAAAAACTGGTGTTGGTAAGAAGAGAAGTCCACCAAACCAAAAAAGGAATGGTAAGGGAATGATTGAATCAAATTCTGATGTTGATGGAGCCGAAGCTAAAAGAGAATCAGAACATGAGATACACATATGAACGGAAAATAAAGGAGAAAGAAGATGCAAACCTTGTTCAAGGCTCTTCATGCATTGGTTCCTACTCTACCTGCTAAGGTAAAAAAAGTTCTTTCAATGACATGCCTTGTTTTTTACTATTCAATTTCTTATCGAGGAAAATTATTCAATAAATTTGTGATTATCTAAAAAAAAATTTATTTTTATTTTATTGTCTTCTGCAACCTTAATTAATAATTATAATCATATCATCAAGAATTATTCCAAAAATGGACATGGTTTTTTTTAATCAAATAAAAACTTGTAAAAGATTATTAAAGGAGATATGATTTTATATATATATATATATATATATATATATATATATATATATATATATATATATATA